GGTCGTTGAAAGATGACACCGTCTCATTTTACCGGGTTGTTCGAATATATTTAAGACGCTGTCTTATAAGATCCTATGTTTTTGGTACGGACAATCTAAAAGCTAGCATTGTTAGTTGGTCCAGTCTTATAAATGTTTATCCCTTACTGATTATTTTGTAATTTTTAATTTTCTCCCATTTCGAGGGGATATTAGCAATTATTTGCCTGTGCCAGTTAAACTTCTCACAATGAGTCAAAAAATCGTCTGCCAAAAAGATTTTCTGCGCAATTTAAACAAACGGTGCATTTTTGTCTAAACTTAACTGCACTTCTGATCTTGCCAATGAGATTCACGTCAAATGCCTTAATAATGGGAATCTGGACATCCATGAATCATGACTCAAGAATTAATGTGAGATGTCAAAGAATGTAACCAAACTTTGCAAGGTAGTATGAAAACGGATGATGATTATGCCCCATAGCAAGTGAAGAGAAGACTTGCTTCTGTTTTCACATTCACAGTCTCAAGCATCCAAAAAGACATCCGGTGGAAACATGCTAAGCTTTCGTCCGTCGTATAATGGACACCATCAGGGCACGGTATCTTCCTTACAACCATAGTCAAGCAAGCAAGTCAAGAAAATTCATCGGCTAATTCCTAAAATGCTGTATATATACTTTATGTGATTAGTTCCAGTCATATGTCAACCTCAAAGCATGTGTGTGGGCCTCTCTGTGTATGTGTATATGTTTGCATGTATTCGCATATATACGAAACCAGCAGTGATGGCTCAAAGTAATTAGAACATAAAAAGTAACGTCTTCTATCAGCCATCACGATTACAACCATCCCACAGTCTGATTATGTTTATTGTCTTCATGTGAGAGAGCTAAGATATGGAGTATATATACAGCATTTTATGGATGAGCCTGTGAGTTTTCTTGACTCGTTAGCTTGAATATGGTTGTAAGGAGGACACTCTGCTCTGATGATGTCCGTTATACGACGGACGAAGGCTAGCATGTTTTCACCGGGATCGAAGGAGATTTTCTCAGAAACGGCACCATAAATTTTGTCTCGCTAGCTTCAAATCTTGCCAGATTTATATGAATTTCCACTATAAATCTTTTCTCATCTTTTGCAGCTAAAGAGTTTTCTTCGAACCAATTGTCCTGGCTCGTACGATTTGTGCATTCAAGGTCTGTCGTTTGGCATGTGGTTGAAAATTTCAAGTTCCCTGGTGGCGAAAATCTTTCCAGTTGACATCATAAACATCGCAAATGTCACCAAAATATCAATATTCGGCAACTATTTGCATGTATTCAGTAAGTGTATAAGAGATCTTTTGCCAGAGTGTTTTCATCATAAAAAATGTCCCAGACCTCTTATTAAGATGAATCAATCAGCAACTTACAAGTCGTTAGAGAAGAATAATATTTGTCTCATTTATCCTCTCACTCCAAAGTAGTGGCCGAAATACACAGATCAGAATCTTGGGAGCGGTGTGAGGGATAAATAATATACTACATCATAATTATAAACGGTGTCAGTATTCGTTAGTAGATGTCTAATTAAATTACACTTCTACACAAGTCTTGTATTTATTCTATTATACGTCTGTCAACCCAAATTTCTCTTAACTTAACGCACTTGGAGGAATAAAGTCAAGAGAAAAAATGATTCTATGCAATCACACAAATGACCGGTGTCATCCCCATCTTGTTCGGGCAGGCATTTATTTTTTCACTTTGTCGTTGAGATCGCTGCTTGGGACAGAACTCTAAACAAAAGTTAGACTGAAAAATATATTACTAAGGCCGAATGATAGAGTTCAGAGAAAATTACGCGGATGTCAACAAAGAATTTTCGAACCGATCAATGCTGGCTGACCAACGACCATTTATCCTTAGCTTCTGATGAGGCTGATTAATACATAGGTTTAGGGCGCATTTTCCAACGAAGTTGGAAGAACACTTGACATTTTTACCCACGTTTCATTTGGGTTTTTGAGGTGAATACATTCTCTGTATCTTGCAACACATCAAAAATTCTAAGTTTATATTGTGGAGTTGCTATATTCCCTGCCTTTAGGAATGCAAATTGACTTGACTGATAAAGAGTCTTGGTCTAATGTTATATAAAATGGTAAGCGATAGTCATGGCACCTGAGAAAGCGATCCCAAGGGGTATAAACAAAGCCTATATTTGGCAATACTTCAGGCTTGTCGTTCCTGAGAGCATAAGATCCATGAGGGAAACATCTCCGAGGAGAATCAGAGCACAACGGAATTTGTCTATCTATGGCTACAGGAAGATCAAAATAATTATAACAACTGTGATTTATGGCTCCGTAAATACATAGATATGCTTCTTGATGAAAAAGAATTGACGAAATTAGCACACATTCCAGATAACATTAAGTTCATTTTATAGCAAATTAAGATTCATTTTGTTTAAAATCAAGCCTGAGTAAATTTCGAAACTGACAATATTAAGTTCTGATAATAACCGGAAAATTATATCCTAGTACATTATAAGTGTGAATTAGGATGAGTCTAGTTTGTTTTGAAGTCGCTATTTCCTCAGCGACCCACTGGCACCTGTGGCAGTGGTTAACGTTGCCTGTTTCGCACGACTCACTTTAAAATCCTCTTTTGGGTGCTTTTGAGACCCAGGCGAGGTACAAATTACAGTTCTGCCTAGATTAGTAAAATTTTTATAGATTAAGGATAGGTTAACTGATTGGAATCATGAGGACCTTTACGCAATTTTGGTAAGCCTAGTTATCAGGACTTCCAACAACTTAAGCGCCTTAAAATTGTTATTTCTTAACAAATAGTTCCTAGCCATATCAATTACTAAGTACATATTCAAATATACTTTTAATCTGTAATCGCATTTGAAAGATAACTGTTTTTTTTATTTTTCGAACTATTTATCTCTATCTACACAAATGGACATGTATTTATTAATATACTAATTAATCTCCCTACTTATTTATTCATAAATACTCTATTATTAAATGGATAATATAATCGATTTCAGTTAACAAAGGCAGTACTACCTACGGATTTCGGGTTATCACAGCCCTTCCTAGAGACGTCTTTATCAATATCGGCCTGTCCATCGATTATTCAACTAATATACTACCAATGGCAACCTTCAACTCTGCAATAATGAGAGTAATCAAAATATCCGCCCCACCCATACCTAGTGACATACAGAAAACTGTTCCAATCGGCTCCCTCCTGTTTGGTAGCTGGGAGGTGGGCAAATCAGCAAATGATGTACAGTTGGCTGACCTAATCATCTGGTTCCGAAAATTGGAGGTGTTTGAAAAACATAGACTTATAGGCTACACAGGTAAGAACACAGATGTAACCATTTCTTGCCTTGCAGTCTCAGCCTAGTGAAGATAATGATAACTCATTATTCATTGCTCTTTGACAAATAAATTGTAATCTAATTTCCATTGATGGCTGCATTTGAGGTCGAAATCTTCAGCTGGGCATTTACAGAGCTCGGTGGAATAAAAAATCTTTTCCAGCTGCTCATTTTTGCACTCATATGGTATTCTGGAAGCATCAGCTAAGTTTACTGCACTTCTCACATTTCTCTAAAATTATGTCTTCATTTGATACGATTCAACTACTATGGATACTAATCTAATATGATCCTAATATAAAAACCTATATTACTTAAAGTACAGTGTAAGTATTAATATAAATATTATTATTATCTTAGTTACTTATCATTGAATTATTATCATAAAAAACCTAAACCTAAAAATATTATCGAACGTGTGAAGACGAACAAGGTGTGTCATTTAGTATGGTCACGGTCTCCATTCCTTGTATAGTACCTCTTTGACCTTGTTTTCGCAACTTACTCGTATTGTCAAGGGGACCTAGAGGAACGCACCTTGTCCGGAGTTCATAGTAGGCATGATAATTTCCATATTTGGACCATGGACTCGGCATATTCCGCAGACATTTCGACGACATCGTCAATGAGCCTTGTCAGTGTTAGCATTACACTAAAACTCGTCAAAAATGGAATATGTAGTCGATTCTTTGACGAATTGTCTGCCAACTGTTGTGGTATATCTCCTTTTGTACTAGTACATTCACCTCTCCTATATCCTTGTATTCCCCCTTGCCTATAACAACTTCATGCGGGGGGAGTGTAGATAGGTTAAAATGGCACATCTGAACTAGGTAAAGTAGACAAATATGAAATTGTGATAGTCAAAGGTATATGATAGGTGAATGTGCTAGTACTGAAGGATAGATATCACAACTGTTTTGCAGGCGATTGGTGAAATGATCGACTCCACTTGTCTCTTTAGCTAGTTATTATGTGGTGCTAAGATTTGCAAGACTCGCTGAAGATACTGAATACGATGCCGGCGAAATGTCTGGGAATTTACTAACTCCACGGTCCAACTCTAGAAATTATCATGCATTATATGAATTTCAGACTAGGTGTGCTCTTCTAAGTCTTCCTGCGAATACGACAAAGTTGCGAAAACAAAGTCAAACAATTATTATAAAAATATTATGCCCATTAAAAAGCAGAGTGGATTAAATCTAAAGGAGCCGTTTGACTTCATACTATATGACCAGAGTCTGATAAAAGTTTTAATGGGCAAGACTCTTCATCACTTTTATATATTTACTTTAGATCCTCTGCCATAAAATAATTAATATTCTAGTGATATCATGCAACCATCGTTACTCTTCTACCCTCTAATTGGGACAGGTGTCCAAGACCGATTGCTCGAAAAGGCTAGCTACTTCTGGTCGACAGACCCTTATATTTACCGTGATGCTTCTGCTCAAATAACCTTCAGGGAGTCGTTTTCTTCTTCGACTAATTCGTCTTCTAACTCACTCACTGGCGTCAGTAACTACGCCTTGGCGTCGATTTACAAGCCAATCGGAGTGAATCTATTCACTGATGGTCTCGACTATGCATTGGTGGCACTGGTTCCCGAGCTGAACATGCTTCAGAATAACTACTTCATGTTGGGTAAGTTGCTGCAGTAAATCAATATGGGCCTAGGATACAATTACATAATGATGATAAGTAATTTATTTGTCAACATGGGCATCCTACAGGACATACAATCCTGATAGTCGATTTGATGATAGGCTATTACATGAGAACTAAACTGGAATTATACTAAAAAAAACAATAAAGGGGTAGTAGTAACGACCTAAAAGTAGATTAAATCCTAAGAGAAAACTATTGAGGATGAAGAAGAATCACAAAATATGAAGAATAGTCGTTTGAGTAAAAAAAACACGAACCAGAATTTGGCCTTAACGCGAAAAAAAAGCCGTTTCAAGCAAGTTATTTATTCAAAATAGTCTATTCTAGGTGTTTTGACTATTTTTATATTTGATCCTTACTGGAAGTTTGTGAATTGGCTATAACATATAAATTATAAATGAACAGAGAAAAGTTTTTCGTTTATGAAGATAAAAATCAACGATAGATTGTAGTTAATTTAGCTTCCCACTGTGACCGAATCCGTGTCTTTGAATATA